AGAACGTCATGAAAAATAGATTAGATGAAGAGCGGGGAAATCTTCAAAACTCAGCATTTCATGACCGATGGTGGCCCTTCGTATCTGCGGAAGATGGAGCTGACAGAACAGCAAATGATTTTTGCACAATCGACATAACACGTCCGCCTTCTAATATTTAACTCTTTTTCAATGTCAACAGCGATCAACTCTCTGGACAACTCATTCGGAACTGAATACGAGACGGATTTCATCTAATGCAGCCATCCAGTCAGGAAATCTGATGGAGAATTTTCAGGCCCCTGGAACAGGCCCTTCCAATACATTGATCTTCTCTGATGGACATCAACAAAAGACAAGCACCACAACCATTCTTGAAATATTGATGTATATCCTCTATGAATACCATTTCATGTACTTATATTAAATAAAATATATAAATTTCATGTGCTTATATTATTTCATGTCTTATATTAAAACATGGATTTGACCTGAGTAAAGGTTCTTATGAAATCTCAACAAAAAAAACAAATCTCAAGGAAAAATGCATGCAAACTGGTGTTTTCACAAGAATGTCATTATCCGAGAATGGAAAACCATGAATCGCTGCAATCGAATCAGAGCCGCAGAACGTGACTCAATCGCGGAATTTCCACCACTTTCGAATTTCAAGGCAGAGGCTTCTAAAAAGATTTCTGGATTAGTATGTCATTAGCCGAGAATGGAAAAACATGAATCGCCGCCGTCGGATACGAGTCGAAAAACATGTCGAAATCTGGGAATTTCCGCCACTTTCCGCGAGAGAATGTCACTATTGCAGAATGGAAAAAAATGAATCGCTTCAATCGGATACGAGTCGCAGAACATGCATAATCAGGAAATTTTCCGCCACTTTCAAAGTTCAAGGCAGAGGCTTGCAAACTGGTGTTTTCATAATAATGTCACTATCGGAGAATGGAAAAAAATGATTCGCCGCAATCGGAAAAGAGTCGCAGAAATGCCTAAATCGGGGAATTTCCACCACTTTCAAAGTTCAAGGCAGAAGCTTCCAAGTATGTTTTTCTACAAGAATGTCGCTAAAAAAAAAAAACATGAATCGCCGCAGTCAGATACGAGTCGCAGAACGTGACTCAATCGCGGAATTTCCGCCACTTTTAAAGTTTATGGCAGAAGCTTCCAAGAATGTTTTTCCAGGAAAATGTCACTGTTGCAGAATGGAAAAACATGAATCGCTGCAATCGGATACGAGTCGCAGAACGTGACATAATGGTGGAATTTCCGCCTCTTTCAAAGTTCAAGGTAAAGGCATGCAAACTGGTGTTTTCACGAGAATGTCACTATTGCAGAATGGAAAAACATGAATCGCTGCAATCGGATACGAGTCGTAGAACATGCCTAAATCTGGGAATTTCCGCCACTTTCAAAGTTCAAGGCAGAAGCTTCCAAGTATGTTTTTCCACGAGAATGTTACTATTGCAGAATGGAAAAACATGAATCGCGGCAATCGGATACGAGTCGCAGAACATGCCTAAATCGGGGAATTTCTGCCACTTTTAAGGTTCAAAGCAGAGGCTTGGAAACTGGTGTTTTCACAAGAATGTCACGATAGGAGAATGGTAAACGATGAATCGCCGCAATCGGAAAAGAGTCGCAGAAAGGGCCTGATTCGAGGAATTTCCGCCACTTTCAAAGCTCAATGCAGAGGCTAGCAAAGAGATTTCTTCAGTAGAATGTCACTATCGGTGACAGGAAAAACATGAATCGCCGAAATCGAATAAGAGTTGCATAACGTGAATGAATCGCGGAATATCCGCCACTTTAAAGTTTGAAAGCAGAGGATTTCAAGCATTTTTTTCAACGGGAATGAACCTTTCAGAGCATATAAAACGATGCATTACCGCAATCGGGATCGGAGTCGCAGAAAGGGCCTAAATCGCTGAATTTCCGCCACTTTCAAATTTCAAGGCAGAAAGTTTGAAAATGGGTTTTCCCCGGGAATATCGCATTGGAAAATCGAAAACGATGAAGAGCGGACATCGAACAGGAGTCTCAGAACATGCCTAAAGACAGAAATTTCCGCGACCTTGAAAGTTTAAAGCAGTACGTTGCAAACTGGTTTTTCACGAAAATATTACATCCAGAGACAGGAAAAACGATGTCTCGCCGGGATCGGATAAGACTCGCAGAACTTGACTAATTTGAGGAATTTCTGAATGTTTAAAGCAGTGGGTTGGAAAGAAGATTTTTTTACGAAAATATTACATTCTAAGACGGGAAAAACGTGAATTGTCGGATAAGAGTCGCAAATCATGCCTAAATGGAGTTATTTCCGCGAATTTCAATGTTGAATGCAGAAGTTTGCAAAAAACTTTCTCCAAGAGAATGTCACAATTGGAGACTCGAAGACGATGATTGGCTGCAAAGGCATTCATTACATGGCAAGGCCGCATTACATGCGTAATCTGCCTCACTTTGCCGCTAGAGCGGTTTCCTATATTTGCATCCCATATTACACTCCCCCAGCAGCACTTTCCTTGTTGGAATTCGACGCTTGTGTTGTGGGCCAACGTTGGTCCCTCTTACGCTCATTTCGTGACCCCGGATTCGGCTAACGTCAAATGCCAACGTGGGCCATTCAGGGGTTATAAGGAGGTTTTGATTGAAATATCATTTCCGTATGTCTTTTTTCAGCTCCCCTACCGGGGATCTTGGGGACCTTGCCACGAAGTCTTTCTCGGTTCGGCTGAAAGTATTCCAGTATATAGCACTTCCTCCGATTGTCATCTTTTGAGGTCTTCACTTTCCATGAGGATTTGAGCCCCATTCATCCACAATTGAAGTGCTTTTCCGGCAAGACTCGGATGATCATACCTTTAATCACACCCGAATCTCCCTGATGGAACCAGACCTAGCCTCTACAATCAAATAAATAGTATCGTTTTATCCTACAGAGGAACAGGAGCAGTGAAGAAGGGAAGTTTTTGCGTCTCTACTTACATTATGCTATTGCATGGTCACTAAATGCTCAGCAGCAATGGATAACAAGCTAACCACTGACAGCCACATAGAGAGACAGACGGGCTGGACAGGACCAAAAGTGGTCTCTATCGTTCCAAGGAGGCCTACTGTAAGTATCACATGGCTTCCAATTAGGCCTATTTGAATTCATGGGCGATTTCTTCTACAGGTCACAATTGACACGGGCACCGGGCGATGGTTATGCGGAAAAAATCGGCCTTCGGCCCACCAGTCAAATGTGGCCACCGGTACAGTACTATTTTATACCCATATTTTCACGGGAGGTCAAGCTCCGCCTCTGAAATTTCGTATGCCCATTACTTTTGAACAATTGGTCAGCGTGTGGAAAAAAATTGACAAATCTTTCTCCTCTTCTAAAGGAAACCCGCACGTCGAATTTCATCAAATTTTCAGATGATGTCCAGCAAAAATCCATGTTCCATTGGATGATTTGTCATGGAATGACCCGAGAGCAATAAAAAAATTGTTGAAACAAAATAACGCAGAGAAAAGGATTAATGCCAAGAAAAATCAAATAAAGAATGTTGCTGGTAAACCGGAGAGCTGCTGGAAAATCGTAGAACAGATTTCGAGAAGACATGGCGACTGAAGTTGGACAGAGGAAGCCCACAGAAAATATGGAAACAGAAGGAGGAACACACCCCAGATGATAAAGACTAAAAGGGCCATCGATGCTATGATGTGACAGCAACGAGCGACGTGTCACTCAATGGCTTTCATGAGGATTTTCTTTCGTGCTATCCGAGCACAGTGGTACAAAAGTCGGAAATTCATGGACAAAAGCCATATTTTGAAAATGGAGGAAGAAAAAATCATTTGTCCTTAAAAGTTACCGATTGAAGTCCTTGCCTGTATCGCTATTTCTTCAGGCCTTCCCCTGGTCCTTTATTATCCTTTACGTGGTGCAAAAGGTCAATGATTCGAACTTCTCTTAAAATATAAGAACTTGATGCCAAATTGTGACAAAAATTTGTCGTGTAATACGACAGTTCTTGTCGCTGTGTTTTCATCAAGTATGACCTGCAGGTGTACTTAAATGTGAGTCTTGCTTATTGCATGTATAATTTTAACCCTGATGCATATGCATAACTCATTATTTATTAGATTTTGTGTAGTTGATTTATGTGAAGTTATGCATACATCAGGAGTAAAACTATACATGCAATAAGGAAGACTCACCCTTAGGTACACCTTCAGATCACACTTGATGAAAACATAGCGACAAGAACAATCGTATTACATGACAAACTTTTGCCATAATTTGGCATCAAGTTCCTATATTTTAAGAAAAGTTCGAATCATTGACCTTTGCGCCACATAAAGGTTAAAAAAAGGACCAGATGAAGGCCTGAAGAAATAGCGATACAGGACAAGGACTTCAATCGGATAATTTTAAGGACAAATGATTTTTTCTTCTTCTATTTTCAAAATATGACTTTTGCCCACGAATTTCCGACTTTTGTACCATGGTGCAGTAGGCAGATACGAAGAAAGTGAATGGACCATCACCGGATCAACCCCGATCGATAACTGGAGTCAACCGGTCCAGCAACGGTCTCTCGGCTATTGGTTTTAAAAAAAACATGGGTGGGAAGAAAATCATTTAATGCTTGAATAGACTATTCCTACCGTGTTTCTTCGCGTAAATTCCGCATTCGCTTCTTTCACCTCATACCACCCTCAGACAAAATATTCAGAGAGTTTCAAGGAGGAAATACGTCCTTCAGTGGTATATCACTGGAGTTTTTCACCCCAACGCTACGTCGTCTTTTATCGGATCTTGTGCATCTGAGGGACATTTTCCATTAGATTCAGAATGACTTCAAAACGTATCGTCGGGTGAGGATTATTTTGTTTAATTCCACTCTTACCAAATTTTAGATAATGTATCCAACAGGCAGCATTCATCACCTGCTACCCGCTGAGTTGTCAGTGCTATGTAGCAAACTTTGCATGAAACCAGGAAAGTAATTTTGTTTTAAGTCCTCCAAAGTCAGAATTTTGAGCGCTACATTGTTCCATGTTCACCAACAATTCAGAATTACTTACTGACATATTGGGTGCTGATTAGAGATGCTCGTTTCGATGAATTACGCGTTCAAGGCCATATTATATTAAGGTTCTCAAGATTACTTCTGATCACATCAAGATCCTTCACGATAAGAATTTATCATCGGAGGCCAGGCGTTAAACAGGGTTAGAAGAGGCGGTGCACATCAGGACTTGCTTTGGGCGACTCACAGATAATCGTTACCTCAAATACTATTGATGCATAAAAACCGCCTTTGGTCCTTCAGTCGAACTCTCATGCTGTGGATATATAGGACAATATGGTGGATATAAGTGACGGTTGCAATCCAGATGGTTCCTATCTCCCCCAGCAGAATGGTTAGGATCATGATGTATGATGTGCGGTGCTAATATTTCTGGCCACTCACGATGAAGTCGTTCAAACTATTATGAATATGAGCATTGGGCATATATCGGTTGCTCATTAGACTCTTATGTAACAACACTAGATAATACTGCAATTGGCTCGTGAACACTTTTTGTTTGTTATCAATAATTATCAGTGACTAATTTTTTTCATCTCTTCTGCCTAAAGTTGCCAAAAAAACAAACAAATTTAAGTCCATCAGTCATGTTATACAGGGTTAACGAAAGTCAGGATCCATTGAGAAATAACATGGGTATCATTTTCAGCCTTAACTATCTGGGACTCACAAGGCAATCTGCGTCAAAACCGGAATTCTAAAGTTCTCTTCACCGCAATATTGGGCAAAGTGACCCGAAGCAAATCAAAGGGTTAACTTTGTAGATTTAGGTCACTCTAGGATTGGTATTCTTAGGTTGCATTCGTAGATCAATTTTGGAAACAATCAACTTTAGTGCACATTTAGTCATTCTAAGTTAGCATAATTAAGCTTAAAATTCGTAAATCTATATACAGGTATTTTGGCCACCCTGCATCTTTTAGTCAATTTGGAATACTCTGCATCAATTTGGGTCACTCTAGACTAATTAGGTACAAGTTTGGTCACTGGTGAATATAGATCAATAGGAGTCGATTTTACTACACGAGTCACTTCAGGGCAATTGCACTGTCATTTTGGGTCATTTTAGGTCAACTTCGGTTACTATGGAATAATTAAATTCAGGAGGGTCATTCATCATGGGTCATCATAAATCACCATGGGTCACTGCATCTGATTAGGTATGCATGTACCATTTACAAGGTGACCCAAAAGTCCTGGCACACATGCAGGTTAGCATAGCTATTCTAAAATCTTAACAATAAACAACAAACTTTGTAATAAAATAAAAAAGCAATATCCTTAGATCACAAATGTGCTACTGCACCAATGCTTTAGAGCATTTGTGCATTTGATAAGATCAGAAAATTTTGTCATGAAACAATACATTTCTAAAAGCATAAAAAAGTGTGCCAGGAGTTTTGGATCATCCTGTAGGTTAACTAAAGATACTGGATCAATATTAGCAATCTTGCATCATCCTAGGATAATTAGGCTTGCGTTAGGTCAATTTGGGTTATTCTATATAACTCTGGATCACTTGGACCTGGGGCCGTAGTCCATTACGTTTTCAAGTGCGATTTTCCTCTTAGCAAGTTGCTTAGCTGGTATTTGCCCCATTCAAATGCAAGGCTGAAGTTGAGCAATTTGCTTCAACTAAGTTTAAGATTTTAGTAGAATATGGCCCTTGATCCTGAAACTTAACCCTTTGAGCCCTCACCACCACTTTACCGGTGGTAGAGAGAAATGACGTATTGCCTGATTGGCACACAAAGAAAGAATTCTGGCGTTAAAATGATACCCATGTTATTTCTCAATGGATCCTGACTTTCGTTAACCCTGTATAACATGACTGATGGACTTAAATTTGTTTGTTTTTTTGGCAACTTTAGGCAGAAAAGATGAAAAAAATTATTAACCCTTTGAGCCCTCACCACCACTTTACCGGTGGTAGAGAGAAATGACGTATTGCCTGATTGGCACACAAAGAAAGAATTCTGGCGTTAAAATGAAGGTACATCATCCTGCTATTTGCATGCAAAGCATCAATCTCATCTCTTTTATTACAACTATAATATTTGCACAAACATTGTATACCCATTATTAGCAAATTTTGGCCCAGGAGCTCAGGCAGAAGGCTCAAAATTGCTCAGGAACTGAGGGCTCAAAGGGTTAAGGAGCTTTGGCATTACTGTATCAACTCAGATCAACTTGCAAGTTCCTGACAACACAGGCTGGAGAAAATCACCTAGTTATTTCACTATTATTCCCGACTTTCGTAACACCATGTATATGTTGCGTCATCTCAGTCTTCTGATGTCTCATGGGTCAATGTATTTACTTTTAGTTTTGATTAAGGATTGACTTATCCTTTTTTGCACACGTTCATGAATAAATCATTTCCTGGAGATGGAACATTATAGCACTCTTGTTTTACTTTGATCCTCAGAATCATTTTGTTTGAAGTCCAGCCAAATGAATGTCATTGCTCATATACAAAGAAATTAAAATATGCTCATCCATCATACTGATTAAATACAGGAAGGGAAGTGATGAATATAAGCATGTGAGTATTCATAAGGCTAGAGTGGTATTCATGCAATGAAACTCAGAAGCTGCTCTTGCTCTTTTCTCAGTAGCATACTTTGTGGAGAAAGAACAAAGCAATCCTCACCCAACAATGTGTCTGTTTTCAATATGGACCGCATTTCCATCAAACCTGCACTAATGTAACATTTAGAAAATTTTCTGGCTGCTTACTGTGTTAGCAGAGATGGGGCAGGCTGTATACCCAGGGTGACAAGCTGCAAGGTCTCCTTTCTGGAGATGACTCTTAACTTGGACTTCAGCAAGCAGGAAATTCAATTGAGTCACAGCCACCTTTTCATCCTGAAACAAAAACACAAATGTCATCATAAATCTCATGAGATTGGGAAATGTTTTCACCAAATTAAGAGTTGAAAGCATCACCTAAGGATGATCCTAAACAATGGAGCCAGCAGTACCCTGTATATTAGCCATCCTGTTCATGTGCTGGGTATGAAAAAAAAAAAAAATCAACTAGCCCTCTTCCTAATGTAGCTCTTCATCTACTTTCAATCCAGAGATGGATATGTTTCCAAAAGATGCATAACATTTTTTTGCAGTTTTTTACTCCAAGTAATATGCAATAAATAATGATATGGCAATTGAAATAAATAATGAAATTAGACAAGAACTCATGTAAGTAGTGGAAGGCCTGAGTACTCATCCAGGCCCCATCCAATGATTATCATTTTTACGCCTTTCATTGCAGATTTTGATAGGAATAATGCTGATCGGAATGGTTAGATGAATTAATAAATATCAAAACAAAGTTTGCTCAATGTTTACATAAAATTTTTCTTGGTCCTCATCAAAGAATGAAGCAGGTGGATTCAGAATTCAATATGGATTGGAGTCCCCTGTCCATTCTCAATTTCCAAATCAATGCCAATAATTGCTCATTGTTATGCTCTGGCAATACCAATTTGGATGAAATCTCAATGGTCCTTCAGAAACAAATCAATCTAAGCAGGGTGCAAGTTTCATGAAAATACCTCTATCAAGAGCTTAGATATGAAGGTAAAAATTTGGTCTTTCTCTTCACTACCCCTGATTCTCACTTTAAAAAAAATGGCAAAATTTTCCCTTGATATTAGCATACTTGGAGATATAGTGAACATCTGCAATTATTCTTATCCACCAAGTTTTCTTTATATCTATTGTTGTTTTTATATCTCATCATGCCCTCCTATGATGCATCAATATCCTGGGGAAAAACCCAGATATGGTGCATAACAATCTCACTTGTTAGAGCAGCTCTGAAACTGAAATATAGGGTGTCCCAGATTTCTTGTCACATTTTAAATATGTTTTCAAAGCAAAAGGCTCCCTCAATTGGTTTATGACAGTGATAATTCATATTTGAATGCTGTCTGCAGATTTTTTTGCAAGAATTCCCCATACCCTATACCTTAGCTTTTATTAGGAAAACAAAAAATTTAGTGGCAGGAATTTTGGGACATCCTGTATTTGATACAATTCTACGAAATATTCATCAAAGCAGGAGAGAGGACAGATTAGCCACAAAAAAAACTTCAGGAGAGCATTTTCAGCAGAACTTTTAAATGTGATCTCATGAATCAAATATTTTTCAACAAACAGCAGCATCAGCCATTCCATCATCACATAGGATGACGGGGGAGGGAGGAGGCAACTGGTCCCAGTAACACTTATGCTCAAGCAAAATCAGCTTTGACACATAAAACAGTGTCATCATGGAGTGCAAGCACTGGAATCATCATAATTTCATGAAATCAGACTTACACCTACTTACACCTAAAAAAGACAACTTCAAATCTACCAGTTGGCACATTTCTTCTCTCTGTTCTAGATTTCCTGACATTCAATAGTCACATCACCAATTCCCATGGGAGAAGGCTCACAGGAGCAATACAGAGAGAAAAAAATTTCCTAATGTAGAGCAGTCTTTTTTTTTCAGAAATAAGGCAAATGAAAATTTCTCAGGAAGGA